GGCGGGGACTCGGGCTGGGGGGTCTTGGGAGCAGCGTGGGACCCTAGGTCCCACTGCAGCCTGTACTCGCAAATGCGGGCCAGGCGCTCCGGGGATTTGGGGTGGGGGCCCGAGGCTCAGGTTTTCCCGAGCGCCCACAGCCCCTCCCCAGATCCCCTGTCACTTGCCTACCCCGACCCAGGTTCTCTGCTCTATCCCTGGGGAACCCCAGTAGATGCGACCTCCAGCACGTGAGCGCCCGCCGGGCTCGGTGCTAACTCTTCGATGCAAATAAGCGCAGGCAGCGGGCGCCTTCCCCAGGGGAGGTGCGCGTGGTGCTTTAGAGCCCCTAGACCTGGGGACCCGCCAGACTCCGGGTGCTTTCTGCTTCCCCAGTAGGGACCGAACTGGGGACTGGCCAGGGCCGGAAAAACTAGCTCCCTTCAAGTCCACCGAAACCGCCAGGGCAAGTCAGTCCATCGTGGTCACCCAGAACTGCGAAGAAGAGAATCAGCTCCCCCAGCACCCTGAGGTCCTGCGTCTAAACAGACAGGCCCTCGGACTGCGAGTGTTTGGACAACAAAAGACCTTTAGACGAGCCGTGATTCCTTTGTCTATGGGGGAACACGGCCCCACAGTTCATCACTACCCCTCCCCCAGAGAAGGGGCTGTCAATCAGCTTGCCAGGATGGACAATTTACTGTTTATGTGCCCAAACCTTTTGTTTTGCAGCACTGGGAATGGAACCCAGGGCCTGGCACGTGCTAGGCAGGCCTTCTATCGGAGAGCCTTCTTTTTTATTTTTATTTTGAGACAAGGTCTCACAAAAGTAATTCATTTTCAAGCCCTCATACCACATAGAAGCAAATAAAAGTTGTTTCTTGACTGGCTAGCCCCCCAAAGGAGACAAATACCTGGTTAGGTTTTTTTGTTTGCTTTGTTTCATCTATGGTACTAGTGACCAAACCCAAGGCCTTCCCACTGGGCTACATCCCCAACCCTTTTTAAATTTTTTATAATAAGACACCATCTCACTAAATTGCACAGGCTGGGCTCAAACTTGAGATCCTCCTGCCTTAGCTTCCCACAATGGTGGGATTATGAGTGCATGCTAAGGTGGCATGCTAAGGTGGCTACAAATAGCTTTAGAGAAGCCAAGCCCTTCCATGCTACTCCTGAAATTGTTGCATAATAAACATGAAGAGCAGGGCATGGTGGTGCAAGCTGTAATCCCAGTGAACCCTTTGGAGGCTGAGACATGAGGATTGCTATGAGTTTGATATCAAGGGAAAATATAACTCCCAACCTGCTAGATGTCAGATACGCCAAGATCATGTTCCCCAAAATCAAAGAATAAATTCTAAGGAACAATGGAGGTTAAGAGTAGGAAAAATTTATTGAGAGAAAGCACCTGAGAGACAGGAGGGGACCAGAAAGTGGGTTGCCATAGACCCCACTTCTCAGTGGAAATTTTATAGAGGAAAATCATGAGGTGAGTATAAAAATCACATGGTGGGTACAATATGGGTCAAAACTATGATCAATAAGATTACAAATATAGCCACTTAGGTAATATTGATCCAGTGGGGAAGTAGGTCATGTAGCAAATGTAAGTCTTTACCTTTTTTGTTTGTTTGTTTGTTTGGTACCGGGGATCAAACTCAGGACCTTGAGCTTGCAAGGCAGGCGGCGGAACCCCTGAGCTAAATCCCTGGCCCAGTCTTTACCTTTTTTGGAAGGGATGGTTCGGGAGGTCCTGGTCACCCACCTGGGTGACTGAAGTCTACCTAAACTTTATTGGACCAGGTGAGTATAATCTTTAATTTATTGCTTATCCCTCAGGGAGACACATAGGCCTGGTCATTCCACCTGTATCTTGAGGCCTAGCCTTCGACGGATGTGCCTCCAGCCACAGTTGTGATGTGTGCTCATCTTCTGTACTGACTCCCTTAAAGGCCTAGCCCTGTCTGACTGCCTATAATATTTCCGTCTAACTTAGTTGTTTATAATAAGGTGAGGCCAGCTTGGGCTACATAATGAGTTCAAGGGTAGCCTGGAATACATAGTGAGACTCTATCTCAATCAATCAATCAATAATCCCTGACGGTTGTTTTGGGTTGTTTTAAGGGTCTGGTGATACAACTGTGTGTTGCTGACTCTGGGCTTGATGTCTGTGCCAGGAAAGGAAGTGTCCCTAGAAGAGAAGATGGTGTTTTGGTCGCCTCATGATGATTCCTTCTCACAAAGTATCGAGGTCAAGAAAATAATTTTCTGGATAACGGAGGCAAAGTAAAAAACAAAATAATAGCAAAAAATACAACCCTTTTTCCTGAATTATATTGATTGACTCTGTAATAACCTGTTTCCTTATCTACAAAACGGAGACACTAACACTACTTCACAGGTGTGCTAAAGTTCAGTTGTGGTAATATCTGAAAATGCTTTATAAACCAGACAGCATAAAGCACTATGCAAGTAACAGGTGTCTGTTGCTTTCTTTTTACCCAGAGTAAGCCTCAGAGTCCTAAGGGTTTCATGCCATGTGTCAAATTGTGAGCTCACCTCGGCTCTTCTGACCCAGAGAGAGCAGAAGTGTTCTGTGATGTACAATGCTTAGCTCATGTTTATCAAAATTCTTTTCCTGGAAATCTCACCAAAAACTGATTGTGACATATCTGTCATCATTCTCTCCATTTCTGAGCTGATACACAAATAGGCTGAAAAATTCACCTGTAGTACAGTAACTGGCAACAGCTTTAGGATTATAATTTAGTGCTTTCCTCTGGCCTAAAATATTCCAAACCACCAAATGAAAAGACCACCTGAAAACCATAACTGCAAAGAAATGGATCATGAGCTTTCAGGTGCTTTTTCATTATTTTTTAATAAATGAGCAATTTCTCCTCCCCTCAAAATATTTCTGTATTTGTGTTAGATCATTATCTGCCTTTCTCATTCCCCCAGCTTAGTGCTTCTTACCAAGTGTTAGAGGTCACTATACTAACCACAATAAATAGGTGCAAAGTGCCAAGAAAAGGCCCCATGTCCACATTGTCCACCTCTGCTTGGGAACAGCCCTGTACAGAAGCCCCCAGATAAAACCCTTAGAGATTCCGGGAGGAAGCAGGGGGTCATGATGGTGGCAGGTCATGATGCTTCCGCTAGATTCTGTGTATTTAGCCTCTTTCACTGCCAGCTCCCAGGCCAATGACTTTTACATAGATACCCAGTATTCTTTTTTTCTTTTATTTTTTCTCTAAGTACCAGGGATTAAACCCAGGGTCTTCACACTAATCTATGTTCCCAGCCTTTTTAAATTTCTTTTTTTGACACAGGGTTTCATTAAGTTGCTAACATGTCCAGGCTGGGCTCAAACTTGTGATTCTCCTGCTTCAGCCTCCCAGAGGATTAAGATTGTAGGCTTGTGCCACCATGCCGGGCCTCTCTTCCCTTAGTGTTACATGAGAATGGCTGGAATAGAGAGAAGGGACATAACAAATATGAAGCTCTCGATATGTGCCAAACACTTTATATATTTAAATTTTTAACTCAAGCCTTTGAGGTAGGTGTCCCACACGGGTCATATTTTGTTGTGTTTGAGACTCAGAGGGGTTAAACCACTTGGATTTATTAAGATACTGAGCACCAGGCAGGCATGATGGTGCATGCCTGAAATCCCAGCACTTCGGAGGCTGAAGTGGAATGATTACAAGTCCCAGCCCAGCCTAGCCAATTTAGCAAGATGCTCTTTCAAAATAAAATACAATATTTTAAAAGTGCTGAGGATATAACTCAGTGCAAAGAGTTTAATCCACAGTATAAGGAAAACAAAAGTAAAAATAACTAAGGAAGAGGTGTCTCTCAGACCATGCCAGAAGTCTCAGTGCAAATCCATCCTCCCATCAGTAAAATTTCTTTGCATGGCTGTTGTGATTTAAAAAGCATGTGGGGCCGATGATTTAGCTCAGTGGGGCTACCACCTGCCTCGAAAGCACAAGGTCCCAAGTTTGATCCCCAGAACCAAAAAATAAATAAAATAAAAAGCATGTGAAGCTATGTCTATAATCTCAGCTACTCTGGAGACCAAAGCAGGTGAATATCAAGTTCAAGGCCAGCCTAGGCAACTTAGTGAGATAATGTCTCAAAAAATAAAAAGGGATGAGGTGTATGTAGCTCTATGGTAAAGTGTCCCTGAATTCCATCCTCAATACCATTAAAACAAAAGTTCCTGGGGCCGAGGGTTTAGCTCAGTGGCTTCGTCGCCTGCTGCGCAAGCACAAGGACCCAAGTTCAATCCCCAGTACCAAAAAAAAAAAAAGTCCCCCTTGGGCCAGGGATTTAGCTCAAAGGCTCTGAGCCTGCTTTCCAAGGTGCTGAGTTCGATGCCCATACCCCCCCCCAAAAAAAAAAATCCCTATGTCAGTCCCCAGCATCCCATCTACTTGAAAGAAGAGGACATTGCAAGAAAGCTATAGATCCCAAGTTCGATCCCAGGTACTAAATAAATAAATAAATACAAGAAAGCTATAGATGAGACAGTTTGTTTTCTTTTCTTGTTCTTCTTTTGTTTTTCGTTTTTTTGAGACAAGGTCTCATTATGTAGCCCAGGCTGGCCTCAAACTCACAGTGACCCTCCTGCCCCAGCCTCCTGCGTGTTGGGAATACAGGCATGTACCACCACACAGGGCTAGACAGTTGGTTTTCATCTTAATTTAAGGATGGGTTTTTTTTTTTCAAACAAAACATTTATTGGTACATTTTAGATATACATAATGATAACATTCATCATAGGGAATTTGTACCTGTACATGATACATCTTGCTTCTTCTTTTTTTCCCCATCCTTCCCCTTCCACCCCTCTTCCCCAGGATGAAGTATTTATACATTAAAATAAAAATATAAATAAATAGGGCTGGGGATTTAGTTCAGTGGTTCCAGCACCTGCTCACAAATCCAAGGACCCAAGTTCAATCCCTGGTACAAAAAAAATATATATATATACATATATATATATATATATATACACACACACACACATATATATATACACATATATATAAAGCCAGGCATGGTGGAACATGCCTATAATCCCAGCACTTGGGAAGCTGAGGCAGGAGGATCACTGTGAGTTCCAGACCACCCTGGGCTACCTAGTGAGTTCAAGGCCAGCCTAAACTACATAGCAAGACCCCCCATTAATTAATTAATTAATTAATTAAAAATGTCCTGGCCACTGTCTGGAGCTCTGTTTTGTTTGTTTGTTTTTCTTTTGTCTATTCATTTAGCTTTCATCTTGGTGATTGAACCTAAGGCCTTTGTACTAAGCTATATCATAGCCCTTTATTTTTCACAATATTTTGAGACAGGGTCTTGGTGCTAAGTTACTACTTGCTAGTTGCTCAGCCTCAGCTTGAATTTGCCATCCTCCTGCCTCAGCTGCCCAGAGTGCTGGGATGGCCTCAGATTCCAGGGAGGTCTAGATGGATGAATGACTCCCAGCAGAAAGGAAGGGATGTGACAGCAAGAATCAAAACAACAGAGCCCCGGAGGGAAAAGAAAAACCAGAGCAGAAGCTTTATGGCTTCTCCAGCCGTGGAGCTTCTTCCTGTGCAAAACACATGGAATTCACCACTAGTTCCAAGATGCCCTGGTTTTCGGAAGTATATGTTTTAGGATCTCATAATTCTCTCATGCCCTCGAAAAGTAGGTAGCTCAGTCATTTGGTGATATCTCAAGAAGGTTCCTTCCTAGCAACCACATTCCCTCCACCTGATAGAAAAGGACTGGAGCTCAGCATGGTGGTGGTGGTGCTGGTAGTGGTGGCGCACACCTTGTAGTTCAAGCCCTCGGGGGGGGGGGGGGGGCTGAGGCAGGAGGAGGCAAGATGAGCCAAGAGGATCACAAGTTCAAGCTCATCCTGAGCAACACAGTGAGCAAGCAGTTTTTAAAAGGCCTGGGGTTGTAGCTCAGTGTGAAAGCCCAGGGTTCAATCTCCATTACGGAAAGAGAAAGAAAAAAAAGGGACTGGAAGTCACCACAGGGACAGAGATGAGTCCCCAAATGGTTAACCTTAATAAGCCTAGTGTTCCTTTTTTTGGCTCATTGTGGATTTGAATGAGAGAGGACTGGACAGTATAAGGTGTAAGGTCAAGAGAAAGACTCCTACAGGGCAATGGGAAGTGTTGAATGGACACAACAGGGAATGCTTGCAAGGATGAGTCAGGCGTAGCACGGAGCATGTGTGGGAGCAGCAGAGAGGCCAAGCAGGAGGCTGAGGCCAGTGAGAAAGGCGACTGTCCCGGCCTAGGGCAGAGGCAGAGGCTGAAAAAAGTAGATGTGTTTGGGGATGGTATTCTAGGATCTGGTGACTTACGGAAGGTATGGAGTGAACCGGTGGTGGCAAGGCTTATGTGCAGCTGGTGGAGGAGAGAATTAGGGAGAGATTCATGGCAGAGAACACAGGAGGGCCGGCAAGATAGTGACCAGGTGCCGTATTAACAGGCTGTGTTTGAGGTGCCTGTGGGAACATTCTAGTAGCCACTTCCTCTTTAGAAAACAGTTGGATGAACAAGCCTGGAGTCCAGGAGAGAAATCTGACCAGGGACTGTCCTCTTCTGTGTCACCATCAGCCTACAGCCTAGATTGTCTGGGCTGAAGAATAAGCCAAACCCTAGCCCCAGGGGAAGAAGCAGGTTCCCTGGGTCCTTCAACTGGAATAGAACAGGTCTGACAGGTTAGATTCAGGGAATGGCAGTCCAGGTCCAAATGTACAAACAGCCAGGCCTTGGGCAGAGCCTCACAAGTCACTGCCCGGGCAGAGGGAGTGGCCAAGGGGAATCCCCAGGGCTGACCATCCCACCAGGGCCAGTGAGCTAAGGCATAGCAGGCATTGACAGAGTTCTGCCGACACCCTCAATCTGGCTTCTCAAATGGCAAAAGGCCACTATGCTGGGGAAGGGAAGGCAGTCAGAATTGGAGAATGGAAGACATGAGCCCTAGAAAAGCAATTTGGTTACTTCCTAACTCACCCTTTTCCCTCTAAAATTGTGGAGTGGGTTAAATGGTGCTCATCCTCCAAGAGAAAAGAAAAATAAATAAGTAAATAAAGCTAGGCATGATGGCGCACACCCATGGTCCCAGCACTCGGGAGGCTGAGCCAGGAGGATTGCTGTAGTTTGAGGCCAGCCTCAGCTACATAGTAAGTTCAAGGCCAGCCTGAACTGCATAGCAAGACCCTGTCTTAAGCCTGCCCCCATTAAAATAAATAACTAAGAAAGATGTGTCTACCAAGAAGCTGTAAATATGATTTTATATGGAGGAAGGGTGTTTGCAGACTTAATTAAGAATACCAAGGGGCTTTTTCGGCCGGAACCGCCATCTTCCAGTAATTTGCCAAAATGACGAACACAAAGGGAAAGAGGAGGGGAACCTGGTATATGTTCTCTAGGCCTTTTAGAAAACATGGGGTTGTTCCTTTGGCCACATACATGCGAATCTACAAAAAGGGTGATATTAAGGGCCAGGGATTTAGCTCAGCGGTTCCGCCTCCTGCTGCGCAAGCTCAGGGACCAGAGTTCAATCCCCGTACCAAAAAAAAAAAAAAAAAAAAAAAGGGCGATATTGCAGACATCAAGGGAATGGGTACTGTTCAAAAAGGAATGCCACACAAATGTTACCATGGCAAAACTGGAAGAGTCTACAGTGTTACCCAGCATGCTGTTGGCATTATTGTAAACAAGCAAGTTAAGGGCAAGATACTTGCCAAGAGAATTAATGTGCGCATTGAACATATTAAACACTCAAAGAGTCAAGATAGCTTCCTGAAACGGGTCAAGGAAAATGGTCAGAAAAAGAAGGAAGCCAAAGAGAAAGGTACCTGGGTTCAACTGAAGCACCAGCCTGCCCCACCCAGAGAAGTACACTTTGTGAGAACCTATTCCCTATGAATTCATGGCATAAGCTGGGGATGTAGCTCTGCCACGCAGCACCTAATTAGCGGCTGAATGCCCCAATCCCTACTTCAAAATAAAAACTCATCCTGTGCTGTAAGGATGGTTTTCTTAATTGAACAGGTGTGTGGTGCCTTTACCTCAGAGAAACAAATATTTGGAGCAGATTCTCATTATACCCAGTTAATTGTGTCAGGTCTTTACTCTTCAGTGTTTTTCTTGCTGAAAGATGTGAGGTATTGTGCAGATGTGTACTCAAATGGCCAAATATTTATGAAACATTTATATTGGCTTGAAGATCCTCTAAATCACCTTGGGGACAAGATGTATCAAAATAAATGGAAGTCAGTATATGGCATTTCAGTTAAATAAAATGTTTAAAAGCAAAGAATACCAAGGGGCTGGGGATTTAGCTCAGTGATTCCGCCGCCTGCCTTGCAAGCGCGAGGTCCTGAGTTCGATCCCAGGTACCAAAAAAAAAGAATACCAAGATGAGATCATCCTGCATAAGGGTGAGTCCTCAATCCAGTAACAAGTATCCTTATAAGACACAGAGGCGAGGGCCCTTTAAAGGAAGAGGATTTAAAGTTGCTGTTACACTTCCAGGAGCCAAGTAGTGCCAAGGATTTCCAGAAACCACCAGGTCCTGGGCAAGGGCATGGGCTGGATTCTCTCTCAGACCCTGCAGAAAGAAACAGCCTGAGCAACCTTCAAGTCAAGCTTCAGGCCTGCACAACTGTGAGACTATAAAGCTCTGTTTTTTTGAGGGGCCAGGGGTTTAGCTCAGTGGTTCTGCCAGCTCCCGCGCAAGATCCGGAGTTCGATCCCCAGTACCCAAAAAAAATTTTTTGCCTCAAAAGCTCTGTTTTTTTGAAACCACCTGGTTTGTGATCATTTGTTACTGCAGCCCTAGGGAACTAACAACAGATGATACCTACCACTCCTTTTTCTTTTTCTTCCACCATTCAATTTACATTCAGCCAGGAAACACTGAAGGACTAGCTTAGTAGTACAGCGCTGGCTGTAAGTGTACAAGGCCCTGGATCTGATCTCCAGAAGTGCAAAAAAAAACACACAGAGAAAGAAAACAAAAGAGAAATATACACACAGGACCTAACAACACTTCCTCTAAATCCTACTCAACCGTCTGAAACAAGTCAGTTTACTTAATTTTCCTTGGCTTCTCTCTCCTCCTAGCTGACACGGTTGTCTTCATGCTACCAGAAAACAGCCCTGGATACTGCACGCACCTCAGCTAAATGCCAGCGGAAGTATTTCAACATATTTTTCTTCACTACACATCTCCATAAGCAGCAGTGGATTACCAATATGTCATGTTTCAATTAATGCCTTAGTCGGATTTGGTTTTTTGGGGTGTTTTTTTTGCCAAATCAGGAATCGAACTCAGGATGTTGCACTTGCAAGGCAGGCACAGTGCCACTGAACTAAATTCCCAGCCCGTTAGTCAGATTTCTTTGTCAAGAAGCACTCTGGCTCCTCAGATGCCAATTCATGCTTCTGTGGTGGGCTGTGGAGGCTCCCAACAATATAAAGCCCTGTGCTTGGTGGCACACTCTTCTAATTCCAGCTACTTGGGAGGCTGAGGAAAAGACTGACAATTTGAGGCCAGCCTGTGCACTTTATCAAGACCCTGTCTCAAAATAAAAAATAAAAAGAATTATCACAAGGTGATGATAGAAAAGGATGAGTCACATGAAAGTTGGAAAAGGTACCAATAAAAAAAAACCTAAAAAATAAATAAATAAAAAGAACTGAGTATGTAATTCAGTGTGAAGGACCTGGGTTCAATCTCACAAACCCATAGTCCTGTCTAAAAAAATACCCTTTGGTTTAACAAATATATGTTGAACATCACTCAAGGCATTAAGAATGCACTATTGGATAGGAGACACCTCTTAGACAGCAGTGAGGGCAAATGCCTATAGTCCCAACACTCTGGAAGGCTGAGGCAGGAGGATCATAGATTTGAACCCAGCCTGAGGAATTTAGTGACTCAATAAGACCTTGTCTCAATGGCTGGGGATTTAGCTCAGTGGCACCAAGCCTGTCTGGCAAGCATAAGGTCCTGAGTTTGATCCCCAGTACAAAAAAAAAAAAAAAAACAAACCCAAAAAACTACTGTGACTTAAAACTTTAAAAATTTTCAAAGGTTGGAGATATAGCTCAGTCCAAAGGTCCTGGGTTCAATCCCTAGGCCCAAAAGAAAAACGCAGAAAGGTAGACCCTTCCTGTGCTTGTATTACAGTCAGGACGACAGTCAATCAATGAATTAATGAATTCATGGATAAGCCAGGATAGAATGATAAATGTTACAGAGAATAAATCAGGATAAGAAAACAAAGAATGATGATTGTGGTCAGGGAAGATGTCTCAGCTGTGGTAAGAACAAAAAAGAGACACAAGAAGAGGATGGAGGGAGTGAGCCCCTAGGACACTGGGGAGCAGCATTTCAGAGAGAAGGGAGAGGAAGTGCAAATTACCCAGATCCATGAGGAATTCCTATATCTGATCATGGCTTAGGCAGGGCTGTGTGGCTAGGAGGTGAGTAGCATTCAGATCAGTTAGGTTCCTGTGGCCATAGAAAAGGGCTTGGGTTTTATTCTGAGTATAATGGGACCCCTTTGGGAGGTTTCAAACATGGTGTGATGGGGATCTGGTTTGTTTTTTAAAGATCATTTAAAGGGTCCTGGATTTAGCTCAGTGGTTCCGGTGCCTGCCTTGCAAGCACAAGGTCCCAAGTTTGATCTCTGGTACTAATTAATTAATTAAATATCATTTGGTTGCTGTGCAGAACGGAAACAGGAGTAGCGAGGAAGCTAACTTTTTCAAGGAAAAGAGAGGTAATAAAGACTTGGAGTAAAATGATAGCTGTCATGGCCAATGGAGATATGCATTTTTTTCTATGTACATATCCATATCTATGTAGACATTTCTTTTCTGCAATGCTGAGAGTCAAACAAGTGGATGTCAGGACTTTCAGGTGTGTTTGGAGGGGCTAAACAGACACTGGCCACAAGCGCTGCTCCAGAGCTTAGCAGAGAAGCCCAGGCCTGAGATGCCAGCATGAGTCACCTCTACCCAGACACCACAGGAAGCTGGAGACTGGTGAGACTTCCTTGGAGGAGGGAGTGTAGGTGAGGAGGAGGACAGAGCCCTAAAACTTGGGAAACCCAACATTGAGAGCAGAGGCTGGTCCCGTAGTCTGGCTACACCAGGGGAACTGTTGACAATGCCAAGTCCCACACCAAGAGTCATAATTTAATTAGTAGGGAGTGGCCCTGAGTTTCATGTGAAAAAACAAACTGGGTGTAGTGCTGCACACCTGTCACCCCAGGGCTCTGGGAGGCTGAGGCAGGAGGATTCAAGTTCAAGTCCAGCCTGGGCAACTTAATGATTTAGGGAGAACCTGTCTCAAAAAATTAAAAAAGGGATGAGGATGTAACTCAGCGTGAAGCCATTGGATTCCATCCCCAGTAAACCCCACCCCTAACCCCAATTCTGTAGGTCCTGGACAGCCCTAAATGAACTGGTAGGGTTCTGGTCCTGGCTCCAAGTATAGAGAGAAGGATTCCTGAGACCCCTCGCCCCCATCCTCCCCCAAACTCAGGGATGGAGACTAAACTTTGCTCTTTTCATCACCTTCTTTTATCTTTATCTGTAGGTTTGTAGCAGCTGCCCTTTCTATAACAGAAAGAGGGATGTTTATTTGCACTCATGATGTCAAAAAGAACCAAAAATGTTGGAGAGCTCAAAGCTAAACTTTGAACTCCTGGATAAATAAATCGTTGTTTACAGCTCCTTTTATCTTTGCAAAGTTTTGGAGCAAACAGAAAATATTACAGAGATCCCCCCGCAAGAAGCTGCTTTTACAAAGCCAGGCCAAGATTCTCTCATTACTGGCAACTAACTCGGTGTTTCACACTTCATTGCCCGGATCATGGCCTGAGGAGCCCACACCAAAGCCAGGCACCTGGAGGCAGCTTCGCCTTTCTGAGGTTTTGGCAAAGGATGCACAGGACCTGTCCAGCCAAATCCGTTGGTTGGTTCCTTTCTGAATGACGAGCCCCTCCATTCCTCCTGAGACTTCTCTGATGAAGGGGCCAAATCTGGCCAGTGTTCTTAGAATGAAGGGTGGAGCTAGGATTCCAGAGGTGGGGAGGAAAGAGTCCTGCATTTCACCAAGTGTCCAGCTTTCTCTAACTCACACTCAGCTGCCCCCTGAATCTGGGATTCTTGTCCCCTGCCCTACATTCACAAGGAGCAGAAATCAGGCCTTTTCTGAGGGACCTACCCCCACTGTCAACTCACCCTCCCTCAGAGGCTCTGCAGCTCTGGGCTGCCTTGGGGACCACAAGCCTGTCACTGTGATGCCCTCCAGGAGTGGCTTCGAGGGCCAGCCCTTCAGGGTGACAGATAACTTCTCTGCGTGGCCGCTTCTGCCCCCGAGGGACCTGAAGGATGGAGTCCACCCAGCTGGTGGCCGTGTTGCTGGGATCAGATGCATTATTTATGACACTGGTGTCAGCGTGGCTCCCAGGCACAGGGGGGGAAATGGAAAAGGCACTTGGGCCTGTGCTGATTAAACTAAATATTTAAACAGGAATCAGGAATTGAGGCAAAATCCATTTTTCTTCAGTAAGGCGGAAAGGGCCACAAATTACTTTGGGCTAGGGCTTAGGAAACACCATCCAGATCAGATCGGAAGGGAAGGCTGGGGCCCTGGACTCTCCTTCCTAAGGGCTCCAGGCCTCCTCTCTGAGGCATGCAGGGGACTCGGAAGGAGGGAGGGAACAGAAGCAGAGGAAAGGTTTGAGAGCTACTGTGGGAATGAGACAGGAGGCACCAGAGCAAAGCCAGGCTGAATTCATGCTTCTGGCTGCATTTTCCTTCCGCAGGGCCCTCCGTCTTCTTGTCTCAAAAAGCAGACGTTCTGGGAGTAGGGAAAGTTTCAACAAAAGGCACCTATAATCCCAGCACTCTGGGATGCTGAGGCAGGAGGATCACCAGGAGTTCAAGGCCTGGGCTACACAGCGAAT